TGGAAATCCTGATGACGTTTAAGTCAAAGCCATTGAAGATTAAAAAGAAAAGTCAGAAAGAAAGATCTCTGAAAAAAAAAATGACATATACTACAAATAGCCTCTGTTTATATGATTTCATCCTTATTGATAGGTAACTGTGAGTGAATTGGCCTAATTTAGTATGGTGATACTAAGAGGCAGACTCATTAAAAAAAAAAGACTTGCAGTTTTAAGTGGAGCAGATTATTGGCTATCGAAAGGCCCCATAAGGGACTTTTTTCTTTACCTCTACCACAGAGTGGACTAAACTCTCAGGAAAGGGCCCCAACCAAGTTAATACAACAGTGCTTAACAAGAAAAAATATTAATTTATCAAGTTACAACATTACTATAAAACAAATCAGAATTTTAAAAAATTTGTAGATGAAGACATTTTTTCCCTGCAGGCAGACTCAGTAAAAGACAAATTGCGATTAAAAAGTTTACACTGAATTAGAGCACAGTGGGTGAAAAACTAGTAAATAATCGGTAGTAATTAGAACTAATTTAATGAGGCACTTACTGAGACCAAAAAGTTCTCTGCCTTTCTGAGAGTAAATTTTAGTGGAAGTGACAAGAGACAGCCAGTAAAACAGTAAAACAATAAGACCATATATATGTTTGGGTGTGTCTATGTATATAGATACACACATACATACATACATATGTACACACACGCATACCTATACATTTTCAGATAGTGATAAATGCTATAAATTAAAAAGCAGAGCAAGGAGTTGGGCAGTGATTTGGGTTGGGGGTTTCTATTTCTAGTAGGATGTCCTCTCTGAGAACCTTAACATTTGAGCAGAGGCCAGATGAAGCAGAGAGAACCCTGTGACCACCTGCAAGAAGAGAATTCCAGGCTGAGGGATCATGCTCAGAGCTGGGGGAACAAGCTTTAGGTATTGAAAGAACAAGAAAAAAACCATTGTGGCAGAAGAGAATCAGTATTAGGGAAAGCATGGTGGGATACCAGGTCAGACTGATGTACTGGAGCTTGTAAGGCCATGTTGAGGGATTTGGATTTGATTCTAAGGAAGCAGGGGAGTGGCGTAATTGAATTTACATTTTCCAAGTTCTCTTTTACTGCTGTGAGGAATATGGATAGAGGGAAGCAGATTATTGGAGTGGTCCATATGAGAGTGAACGGTGGTGTGGGCCGAAGTAGAGACGTTGAAATATAAAGTGGGGACATATTTTACACGCAGATGCACACGACTTGCTAATGGATTGGTTATTGCTGTTTTCACTACTTACCCGTGATAACATGCTGGAGGGCAAGATGNGCAGAAGAGAATCAGTATTAGGGAAAGCATGGTGGGATACCAGGTCAGAGTGATGTACTGGAGCTTGTAAGGCCATGTTGAGGGATTTGGATTTGATTCTAAGGAAGCAGGGGAGTGGCGTAATTGAATTTACGTTTTCCAAGTTCTCTTTTACTGCTGTGAGGAATATGGATAGAGGGAAGCAGATTATTGGAGTGGTCCATATGAGAGTGAACGGTGGTGTGGGCCGAAGTAGAGACGTTGAAATATAAAGTGGGGACATATTTTACACGCAGATGCACACGACTTGCTAATGGATTGGTTATTGCTGTTTTCACTACTTACCCGTGATAACATGCTGGAGGGCAAGATGATGCTTTGTAGGTCTCTGGGTTCCTCACATCATTTTCCAGTTTTTAATTTCACCGGAAGTTAGCTTTTCATGTTTTCTTCCTTTATCCTAATTTGCAGCAGTGATTAAAGCTGTTCCCTGGCCCCACAGTCCAGATCATGTTCTACAAGCCTTGTTCTTGCCAGGCTGCAGAAAGCCTCTGGCTTCTGCACAACCCAGGGGAAACATCTCGCCTCTTTCCGTCCTTCAGTGAGACCCCACCTGCCCCATGATCACATTCTCACCAGGAAGTCCAGCTTCTTTGTTCATAGGTTCTGTTCCAGCACATGTCATATCTAGAAGGACCCTTCTTTTGGGAACCATTTCCTCACATACTGATACCGCAAAAATATGTTAGAGTGAAATATTATTCTTCTCTTGAAGCCAGTGTCTCCATGGGTGACTGGATATCTCTGCTTTAATCCAATATAATTGATTTTCTGGTTAAAATTTTAAAGGGTAATTTAACTCCCCTTACTTACAAGTTCAAGAGTTTAATTTGTAGTTCATCTGTCCATCTTAAAAATAATTATGGCTAATCAGTATTTTCAAGTGTGCATAATGACTATCACTTGTTTTGGGCGTCAAGACAAATGAATGAAGTAAATGTGGTTGTGGAAAGTGAGTCTGTAGTTTTCAGCATGAATTTATTCTTTGAATAACAATATTTTAAATCCAGAAACTGATAATAATAATAATAATATTTTTAATTCTGTGGCAACACAGCCTTTATAAACTTAAGACAAAACTGAATGACTGAGTTAGTCTTAGTCCAAAATAGATTATGTTACTTACTATCCCATCATTTTACCAAAAATGCACCTTCTTGGTTGTAAACAACTTTAGCAGAAAACTATTGTAGAATATTTCAAATAATAAAGATAATTTATAATACTACAAATAAAAAAAAACTTTGGAAATTTCAATGACATGAACATATGTGT